TCCCCCCTCCCCCTCCACCTCCCCACAAGCCCTACCCCAACAACCCACCAACAATGTCCGACCCCCCCCAGCGCCCACCACCACCAACATCAACATGCGCACAATGCAACCACCCCCCACCCACCCCCAAACCCTGCCTAAAATGCCACAGCGCCACCTACTGCAACAAAGCATGTCAGAAAGCGCACTTCAAGACGCACAAGAAAGTTTGTGCGGCGCTGGCGCAGGAATACACGCGTACGCATGAGCCAAAGATGGCGTCCAAGGCGGCGCCCAAGAATGAGGCGAGGGATCGGGGGTTGCAGAAGTGGCAGGTGTGTGGGGATTGAGTTTTTATTGATTGATTGATTGATTTGTTGTTTGGTTTCTTGACTCCTTGATTCCTTGCTGTGTCTCTGTTTTTTGGATTTGCTTTTTCGGCTGGATGCTGGCTAATTGGGATCCAGTTTGATACTTGATTGGCCTTTTTTCCGACTGCATGGCAAGTCAGAGGCTGCTGGAATACTGTACTGGAACGCTGCTGTTATTGAACCGGCTTTTCAAAATGGACCTTCTTCGCTACCGGTACTTGAATCATCATCCACAACCTCTCAAAAGCGCACTAGCATTTGCGCAGCGCCTGCGCTCGGGCATGACCAGCACCATGGTTCAGCACATTTGGAGCCGATTCGTTCTCGATCAATCGTCGAGCATTAAGATTAATTTCGCATTCTTGTCCTGTTCCAGCCAGACAGATTGCATCAATGTCGCCAACGCCACGCCATGCTATGGATAAAAAAGGCTTCTCAAATATAGAGAGTAGGGGGGACGTTCCAACTAATCAAACACGCTTCATGATCACATGCAACCTCATGTCCAAGATCATCACATGTCGTGATTTTGTCATCCATCAAACCCACGCTGAAACAGATTGTCGAATGTGGCCTTCAGATCCTATGTAGAAGGCATCTTCTTCACAATGAACACACCCACTTCGACGCCTTTCGTTGGTTCCCCGTCATGATAGCCGCGTTTCGAAACACCTTCGAGAACTTCTTGGATGAGGTGTGCGCCCGTCATCTCGTTCGATGGCAGCTTCTTGGACTTGCGGAAATACTTGGTAATGTTGTCGCGCACCCTCGGCTTCTCCTGCTTGATCCACCAGTCATCCGCCCAGGCTGCTCGACTGAGAATAACCTCCTGCTTCTTGGCGTGTATGACCTTGTACGTTGCTGTTTGATGGCCAGGCCGATCGCCAAGCGCGTGGCAAAAGTCTCGCACTCGGCCCTGGAGATGATCGTACTCGTCAAGGTAATTGACAGCGCTCATTTGTCCCAAGCTTCTGCCCAGCTCTGAATGAAGATCGTGCACTACCGTAACAGTGCGGAGGAGTGGATCCAGTATAGGCCCTAGATATTGCTGGGTGAATGTTCGCGCACCAGTTTTTGTAGGATAGACGAAGAGCAGGATACCATCCTCAGTGGATAATTCGCTGAGGCGATCGTAGAGTAACGAGCGACCTCGAAATGTGAACATTTCAGCGTACTCGTTGGTATTGGTAGGCGGAATGTACCGCTCAACCACCGAGACATTGATGCTACCCGGTGGTACGACCGGTCTCGGGCAGGGTGGAAGTAGTTTGGAGTCGAGCTGGTAGTCGGGAATGGCCACGGCACTGTCAAAGACTTTGCTTGTGAAGTACGATTCTCCTCCCACGGCAGGACCGGGGGTCGATGGGGGAGACTTGGGCAAGTCAGACAGGGTGTAGCGGCCAGGAAGGGCATGAAAGACGTTGATCCATGACGTTTGTGCCGACGTTCTCTCGTGAATGGTACTGATGATTTGTCCAAACACATGGCCTGTCATGGACGGGCAAGGCAACGCGTGAGACAGGATCTTGACCGAATGCAGGTCCAAGCATCCAGACTGGGTTACTATGGTTCCTTAGCAATGTATGATTTTTTTTGTTCCCAAGATGCACGCTTACTGATCATGTCCTTGACTTGATCAACCCAGTCTGACATGCTTACTTCCTCGCCTGGACTGGCAAGGGTAGGTACGATGATCGGAGCTTGAGCCGGAACTGTGGCACTTGTAGTCGTAACAAGGTCTGGTGATCTACCTGAATCAGAACTTGGGGGGGAGCCCAAGTCCGTCGTTGTCACGTTCACAAAGGATCCCCAGCTGAGCGTGCCCAGCTCCGAGGGAGGTGTGAATGTGGCGACACTAAGCTCCAGCTGGCCTCTTGTAGCTCTGGGAGAGGTAGGGGAGAGATGGTGGTGGGCTCCTTGGTGTGGAGGGGAAAGGTCCAATCGTGTGTTCAGTGCGTTGAGTGCATGGAGAGGATCTTCAGGCATGGACAGCGGACCGGCACCAAGCGAGGAGAAGGACTGGCTTGTGTGCAGCGGATAGCGATTAGGATGGGGTGCAGCAATACCTAATACATCAAAAGAGGGAAGGCGCAGTTTGTGGGCCGCCCTGAATACTGTGGGAGAGGGAAGGGCTAGAGGAAGACCGGCCGTCAGATCGGACTGGGTACGGTCATGGTGGACTGGCGACAAGAGAGGCTGGGGCAGGGCGGAAGGCAACGGCATAGGCTGCGGTAGGGAAGCATCGAGAAGGGAAGCAATGTCGTTTACGGACGGACTGCTAAGGCCACAAGGTACCACGGTCTCGGGGCTGGGCGTACCCAGGTCCAGGTCCCCATCCGGAGTCGCTGGGAAAGGTTGGGAGTGCGACAGAGCAGCGGCAACATGGCGGCGCTGAAGGTCTGGAAGATTTGCATCTGACAAGGAAAGCCGAGGGTCGACCATTTCCTCAATGGCAAACAGCGACGTCGGCGGGGAAGGAGAGAGGCACTCTGTCGGTGTTGTAAGGGCAGACTGGCACTGGCACTGGCACTGGCACTGGCACTGTGCCCCGAGGCGTTGGAGAGAATGATGTGCAAGATTCACCAAGGCTGAGGCGTGGCTGAGGATCCTAGCGACCAGGACCAGGTATACAAGACAGACACGAAGAAATACGGGAGCTCCGCCTGGTGGTGAAGGGGTGGAGCGGGGGCGCGGCAAAAACGGCAGGGCAGCTGGGTGGAGAAGGCAAGGCGCAGGTGATGAATGATGGTACAAGCAGGTGAACGAGCGGAGGGAGTGGGAGGGGAGTGGACGAGTGGACGAGTGGACGGGTGGACGGGTGGACGGGCAGACGAGTGAATGGGAGTGTGCAGAGGACCAGCTGCAAGTAGTAACGAGAGGTGGGTGGTAGTGGTGGTGGTGGTGGTGGTGGTGGTGGTGGTGGTGTGATGTGGGTCCCCGTTTTTG